TTTAAGTTATCAATGTCAATATTGTTTACTATTTACGTAACTAAAATAATAATACTATGAAAAGTATATGTAATCATAACTTTTTTTTGGTCGAATATAGTCATCGTTATATGTGTAAACAATTTTCCTTTTCTTTACGCATGTTGGCCAAAAATTTGAATGAGTTTGAGAAACACTGAAAAATGGTNTGTGGANGAAANTTTNNTNTGTCTANNTTNGATCTCTTACCATCAAATCTTCNTCTTGGTATGTCATAANGTGGAACATGAACCTAATTAAAAAGCTAATTGCTAATAACAAATTTACAATAATGAATCATAATTTTTATTTTTACAAAATACATTTACATCTACACACAATCATTATATAACACATATCTCCACATTATCACAGATTGATAATAGCAAATTATAATTTTAGTCATATAAACATATTTGAATCTGCACATGGTACGGGAAATCATCTAATAATCAAATAAATCTGATACAATCAAATACTTGCTACTAAACGTGTCTGTAGATCCACCAAATAAAATGTAATTAAAATATTAGGGATTTGTAGGCGGAGTATCTTTTTTTATGACTTGTGTTTTTTTTCTCTATTGACTAGGCCGAATATTATGCATGTTTATTTTGGTTATTGTCTGGCACAATTTTGATCTAGAAGACTAGAGAGGTCATGAAATTTAGCATATTGTCTTTAAGAGTACATAAATATTGTAGTTTACAATGTTTGGAATGAATAAATAGATAATTACATATAGCTTTTATTTATAAAAGAGAAAGGTGAAAAAATGGGTTAATTATTCTAAGGACAGAAGTAATCACTAGTTCCTTTGGTCTTTGTTCCTTGTTTGGTTTACAAATTGAGTCTTGATAAAGGAGTTTCTTTGATTGGAGAAAACTCTCAATTACATATCATAATTCCTTAGTTTATTTATTTTCTCAATTCCCATTTTAATAACAAAAAAAGTCATTGTGTTATTTTAATGATACATTCCAAAATTAGGTGGATGTATACCAAATATTGTTTTCTTAATGTATGAAACATTTGTTTGACCAACATCACAAATAATTTTCAATATATTGATCCTTTTCATTGAAAAAAAAAACACTTCTTTAGCACCATTGGACCATACATCATTATCTACACTACAAAATAAAAACCGACTTCATTTTTTAATAAATATATATGATTCTAAATTCATTCTGTAGCTAATTTTAAAATGATAGTAATTTGGAATGTAAAAGGTAAAAAATATATAAAACTTCAGAATTTCAAATTCTACAAATTTTAAAAATTGGAGAGGGAGAGTAAACAAAAGTAAAATATCAAATTGTTCAGTGGTTTTAGGTTGGTGGGGGCTTAAGAGTAGAGTAACTTTGAGCCTTTTGACCTGTTGCGTCCAAAAACATTTTACATATAAATAATAATAATAACAAAAACAGCCAACAGATCTTCGTCTGTTTCTATTTATTCCTTTTTCTTGTCTGATTCAAATCTAAAGAACCC